AAGTCTTCCTATTTTGGCAAACTAAGTTGCAGAAATTATTTAAAGGGATCTTTTGATCATGAAAATACTAATTAATAATGACTTAGCATTAGAGAATATTCCCACTAATGGGGAAGAACAAAAATATAGTGAAGCTGAAAAATACATGACAATTTAAATGAGTCTTACAACATCTACTCAGTTTAGTTCAACTTTTCACTCATTTGTGCTACACTGTGTTGAATACTGTATTTAAATATCATACTTTTTACTAATTTGGTTGTAAAGTTTTGTGTACAAAACATAACATTAAAAGAGGTAAATGTGAGAATGGCGCTGAGGAGTCAGTCTCTCTGATCCGGGAGCGATATATTTACACAGCGTAGCACCTGGAAATCCTTACCACTGGGTTGTTTGCGGACCTGTGCAGCGTAACGCTTATAATCTCATACTATTGTGAGGTCGGACTGTGACCCCAGCAGGATAATGTCTTATTCGTACCTTGGTTGGTGATCTCAGCAAAGGTTGTGCATCTCAGTAGGGTTGGGTTTGTAGCTGCTTTCTGGAGCCTCCAGACCGGTAGCTGCTCTCAGGCGGAGGGGGATTGGCGTGTGGGAGCTGAGCAGACCCCACCAGTGCTGTACCCTTCTCAGGTGTGTGTATTCAGCTTTGCAGTCTCCTCTACTCTCATTTCACACACCTGCTTTTTAAAAATGCATATAGTTCATTTCTTGAACTAAATACATGTAAATCCCTTCCCTTCACCAAGTATTTATGGAAATACCCAAGAGCAGGGTTCGTTTCAAAATCTTTACTACTACACGGAGAGGAAATATGCTGTATTTGATGCAACGCTTCCCTTTGCTAACTTGAAACGTGAAAGAGGAGATGGGAAATTCTGTGATGCCTCTCTTGAGGATTTGTCTGATCATGTTTACATTTGGTGTGTCCCACCGACCTGGTGTTCAACCTGGGTGAGAGCCTTTCCTTTAATGGCTTCTGTTTCGCTGGCCATGTTCCTGTTTGGCATCATAGCGTATTTTAGAACACGGATTTGTTTTTAGAGACGCGAAACATCCCTGGGCTCCTAGCTCTAAGTAGAGACTGTTGTAAGTAAAAATGGATGCAAATGTAGTTGGTTCTGCAAAATTGCATTTGTGTTTTGAAATGAAGCAGCATTGTGTGGTGTTCAAAACTCTTACAATCACTTTCTATGAATATTTGTGCAATTGGGATTTGCTAGCAAAACTGAGGTAGAAAGGAATTTTTTAGCATGCATATCAAATCACAGAGTACATCTTCAGCTAAAAAGAAAACAGCCGGTGGTGTAAAGATACCATAACAATGCCTTTACATGCGCTGAAGCTGGCATATGGCCAGAAGCAAAGGTTTTATTAATCCATTGGAGCTATTGACAGGTGGTGCAGCTGAAGGCATCCCTGAAGATTTGAAGCTCTGTGCACGAGTAACAAAGAGGAGTTTAGCTGCTTCAGTTTGCAGCAGATATGACCTGTTGTGGGATGCCCTATGTCATTGGGAATGCAAAGATGCGCTGAAGTTATCTTGGACTGTTCGCTCCTCGGCATACTAAATGCCTCTCTAACGTATTTCAGAATCTGAGCTATAAAGTAATTTAAATTCAGAAAGGAAGATAATAAAATAATGGATGATAGAAAAAACCTCTATATAGCATAGACTGCTCCAAAGACCATGAAAGACTTTATCAAATACCTTTTACAGTAGAATTCATTTGCATTACCACAGGGAACAATTGTGATCCTCACATCCAGACAATAATAAAATCTGAAAACGCTTCTCCTCCTCCTCAGATCCACAATATTCTGATGCTGAAGCTTTATACCTTGCCCCATATTGGTCATAATTACTCTTTAGTTTATTCTCCTGCCCATCTCCCTGATCATGCCTGCACCTGTTTATTTCTTCTCTCTTTGTCCACTGATTCCTGTTCACCCAAGTCCAGATACCAAGGGAAAGTCCTAGGTAGATCACCTGCAGCTGGTGGACTAAGGAAAATTTTCTGGCATTGGCTCTGAACAAGTAAGACATGCTCCAGGCTGGCTTCCCTGCTTGCCTTTCCAATTGGTGCTGGAAATAAAATTTTGGCAGAAAAGTCTTAAAAGGTTTGAATAGTCTCATTCTCTTTATTTGTGTAAGTTTGTGTTTTTGGTGTTATAGCTTCAGGACAGCCAGTGACAGGCTTGAATGTCTGACCTCTCTGACTCTCAAAAAGAAATTGTTATTTAGCCATTTAAAAAGAAAGGCTTGTGGGAAAAAAAGCAAATACAGAATTCAAGTTACAAATAAAATGAAAATCTGTTGATTCCAATTCTGCAAGTGCTTTACAATTTACTAGCCTATAAATCTATTCACTGAAGCTAGCTACTACCCTATAGTTAATTAATTAAGAATAGCCAAACAGATCATGGAGTTATATTCTTAACCGTTTTAGCTTCCTGTCTCTGCCTTACAGTAAAAATTTGTGCATGGGAGGCAAACCAGAACTTTCAATCACGGCAGAGCTGTTCAGCTGCAATGACAAAACAGCTGATGGACAAGCTTAAAAATACAGCCCAGCTCTAGGATTTGCTTTGAATTTACATGAGTAATAAGTATAGTTTAGAATAAGTTAAAGAAAAAAGTGAAGCCCCAGTCTTGCTATCCGAAATGTATCTCTTCTGATTAACTCATGTAATTTCTAACATTGTAAAAACTTACCATTTTAGGTATCAAAATTGTCTGAAAAGCTTGTCTTAGTTCTGAAAACAGGTCTAAGACTTCTAAAGTGAAAGTGCTAAATGAATTATTAGTAGCGCCTTGGTAATTTTCCACATTGAACCAACTCAGCAGCTTGAAATGAAGAAGGATGCCATTGTTTGGCACGGCTATATTGAATTTAGTTTGTGCTCAGACCTTCCCCAGACCATGTAAATTAGCAGGAGGGCTACTGAGATTAAATTCCTGCCATTTATAAGTTTAAGTCTGAGAAAGAACAGAGGGTATATTTTTCTACTCTTGATAGAAATAAAAAAAAACATGTATTTTAATTCCTAGTGGAAAAGGTTTAAATTTGTGGAAGTGTTTGAATACCACTGAGGAATAAGCTTCCATCTTTCCGTGACCTACCATCACAACGCAACAGTGCAGCAGTCTTCCAAGAGGCGATTGCTGGAATGCCGTTCTGTGTAAGTTTATTAAACTGAATGCAAACATGTACATCAACTTTGGGGATTTATTTTCCACAGCTAAATTGGTGTGTTTCCAGCAAGCGCTGAGAATGTGAAGCCGGAGAATGCAGGATGTAAGTCTGTTTCTTAATGCAGTTTCACAGTGAAGGTGTTAGAATTAGCAGAGAAAGAAAGGGAGAGAGAAAATTGTGGAAAAGCTTCATCTATCTCCTTATTGCCTCCTGAGATAGATTGTTTGGAGCTAAAGGAACACTAGACATGAACCAAATCTCCTGCTGTCCTATATAGCTTTTACAATCTCCTTTTTAATAACCCAAACTGCAGGGTAGTCTGACTATTAGACAAGCCGTTCTTTTGAATTCTCTCTACAATGTGTATAGGCATGATAAAAAAAACAATTCTCATTAAAGCTGCCAAAGCTGTTTCAAAACCAGGTGGTTTAAAATGTTTCCTACACAAAGCAAAACACATTTCTTGTGCACTACGCACTGCTTAATAGGGAGTGTAAGATTACGCTGCTATGTTGTGTATAACACTGCATTTTAAATAATGGGATACTGTAAATCGTGTTGGAAATATGTTTAACATGAGTATGGAAGATGTAATGATATGCATTGAGCAATTTTCAGAAGTGCTGGAACACAGCCTTGTGTGACAACCTCTGAGCTAAAGGAGTTGAAAATAGAATCTGGAATTTGAGATTATGCAGTCTCTGATCCTAACTGATTATTTTTCTAGGATACTGTTCCGTCAGCATGTGGGTATATGAAAGCTGTCTATGGGAACGTTTATTGTTTATGTTGTAAATTAAGGGTGCTAGGGATTGAGTGCATTCATTTTCATTTTTCACTCAAGTCAGTAGTTTGGATTGGTCTGAAATAAAAACTCTGATGTACAGCTCCATCCCAAAACTGTCTGACCATATTGGTTTCCAAATCCGTTCTAAAAAAACCCACTGAGGTCCTGTTGTACTTCTGTACAAATTCAGAGTTTGCCATTCACTTCAGTGGGAGCAGATTTTGGTCCTTCAGTGATGTGAACATCTCACTCTGTAGGTGTTTTTCATCAGCTATCAGAAGCTTCTGGAAAAAGAAAACTGTACAAAGTATGGCAATTCAGGTTATCATGAATAAATGCAGTAATTCATGCTATCCTTACAAGTATATTCCAGTTGCCTCAATGTTTTAATCAGAACTTGTTTTTGAAGATGGAAAAAAAAGTTCATATGTATTGTAAACTGCTTTTAATGAAATAAAATGCATTTGAGTCTTATGTATACCTATCTTAATTACACTATCTTCTGCTTTAAGAAATAATTACTTTCATTTTGATAAGTCAACTTGTGTAAACGAGGTGAAAATTGATTATGAACTGATTTAGTTAAATAAAATATTAACATAAACACTTATGCAATGTAGCCTGGCAGAAAATTGGTTATTCTTAAAAAGGTTAATTTAAAAAATGTGTTTTCTGTGAGTCCTGTTTCTTCTGAAAAACCTCTGTAAATTCAACAGGTGACATTATAGATAATCCAGTAATCAGTGTTTCACCCGCCATTTCATGGACCCATAAACTACTGCAATTTTACTTACATGACTCTAGCAACTATTAATGTATGTACATAACTTGTGAAACATCTAGTTATCACTCTGCTCATATTAGCTCTTTCATACTAATGATTTATTTTCATTTTCTCCAGGATATAGACCTGCGGCTAACTGGATTTGATTTGTAAGAGGGGATTCTGCAGTAAATGGCTGCTCTCTTCATATTGCTGCTATGGAAAACAGAATTGTCAATAGGATGTAGTCTGATAAATAGTGCTGAGTGAAGATGCAGCTTCAATAAGTGGGAAAATCAATGGAAGATACTTACCGCATGAAAAGCCTTTTGAGATTTTTCTGACAGGCACCTATTTAGGAAACCTGATCTGTTTCCTTCGGTTGCCCTGTTTTTACACCAGTGGATACAAATCAGATTGCTTCACTGTAGTTACACAACTAATGTGGGACCATGGCCTTTCCAAGATCCATGTGGCTGAACTGTGTATGGAGAGCGATGATAGTCCGCCTGTTACACATGGGATTGAATGCCACTTTTGCTTTTTGCATACTTGGATTTTTGCTTCACGCTGCAGCTGTGTCCTCCCAAAAATTGGATGATACCAACCCAGTGGTGACCACCAACTTTGGCAAGATAAGAGGGATTAAGAAGGAACTTAATAATGAAATTTTGGGGCCCGTTATTCAGTTTCTTGGGGTTCCGTATGCTGCCCCTCCAACAGGGGAGCGCCGCTTTCAACCTCCTGAACCTCCGTCTCCCTGGGCAGATATCAAAAATACCACTCAGTTTGCTCCAGTGTGCCCCCAGAACATTATAGAAGGCAGGTTGCCTGAAGTCATGCTTCCCGTGTGGTTTACTAATAACTTGGATGTAGTTTCTACCTATGTACAAGATCAGAATGAAGACTGCCTCTATTTAAATATCTATGTCCCAACCGAGGATGGTGAGTTAATAGCAGGCGAAACAGGGAGATCTTTTTATTTTCCTGTTCTACGTTCTAACAATATTAATTCACGTGTACTGGTAGCACGCATGGCTTTCTTTGTTTGCATGCCAGCATATTACATGTGTGCATGCTGCTCTTCTGTGTGTGCATCTGTCCTCGTTTTTTGTTTAGTTTTGCTTTCTTTCTGTCTACGCTCATTTTTTTCTCCCACAGCACGTGTATTTTTAGGTCAAAGTTGGTACCTAATTCTCATTGCCACCCACTGACTTCTGGGAAGACGCATCCACATCTTGTCCATTGCATGTGCAGGCACAACAAGTTGAGACTCTTCCGCACCTAATAAAGCAGGTCATATTTAAGTTAGATAGTGGTGTTGCATGCTCCTACTGTCTGTGATGGAGCTCCATGTTATTTTCTAGTCTTCTATTCATTTTTCAGTCAAAAGAATATCCAAGGAATGTGCCAGAAAACCCGGCAAGAAAATTTGTAGAAAAGGAGGTATGTATAAAGTGGACAAAAAAAAAAATGGGGGAAAGATCGAAACCTTGCAAAGGAAGAACGAGTAATACAGCTGAAGGAGTCTGATTTGCTGATGCTGTGAAGTGAACTGTTAGGGACTATTTTGTCCTCATAAGGCCAGAAAGGTACTTAAAGAGAGGACCATGTAAAGCAGATGAGAAGATAACATTTGTAAAGCCTGAACTCGGTTGCACCTGATCATCTCTCTTGCAGTATCTCATGCTGACCTGACCGGCAGCTGCTCTGTCTTGGCCTCGTGGTTTAGAGGAGTGTCTGTCACTCGTACGTAGACACCGTACGCTGTATATCCATGCATAGGAGGTAGCTCATATTTCTGGGGCCTGCTACTCTTGCCACTGAAGCTGCTGGCCCAGCTCCACAGCTCTGTATTCCAGTGGTGTAGCACAACGGCTACTATGTTTTGTAGCTAAGCAGAGCTGAAAGCCCGCATCAACTTTCTACGTGGTAACACCCTTATTTGCTTGGAACAGCGTTCACTTTCCTGAAATGTAGATGTGAAACGCTTTTCTTCCTTTGCACGCGTAGGAAAGTGAGCGCTGCTTTCCTTCATTAGGTGATTGCGACTCTCTTTGTAAAGCTGAAAATCTCTTAACAGGAGTGTAGGGAAATGTTAAAATATTGTGATGTGGTACTTGGGAAAGCAACCTGTGTTTGGAAGCTTTGGAAACTTGGCCTCTGCCCTTTTTGTGTTAGGTAGTGTGGGAGAATTTGCAGATTTCTTTGGGAACATTTGCGAACTCACGAAGCGATTGATACGCAATATAGAAGGTATATTTTAAAGCAGGTGATTTAAAGCAGGTGTTTGGCACCAGTTTAAAGCACAAATTTTGTACTACTTTACACATTTGTTTTGCAACAAATTATTTTTCTGTATTGTTTTCTTTAAAATAATGTCGTCTTTAATAGCTGGACTACTTTTGAAGCTAGAATGCTTTTTTAGGGTAAAGAAAGAGCAGTGTGGACGTACATGGTTGCCTATTAGCTGTAATCTATATTTTTTATAGCAGTTCCTACACGTCCCTGCTATTCCAGAACTAATACATTTTAGGGAAGTATCATAGCATGAAATTGTTTAGAGTTGGGGAAAGTTCAACTCTATAAACTCTGTATCAGGTTTTTAAGGTGATACCTAGTCATCTAAATGGAGGTAGCCTTCTTTTTCAAGGTTTTTGCTCTTACAGCTCCTACTGACTGTTGGTTGTGGCTAGGTGTTAATTTTTAATTGTAATTGTAGTTGTTTGGTGTATGCTTTTTTAGATGTCTAAATCCATTTTCAGTGACTTAAGGCAATTTGTTTTTAAAGTGTTGGGCTTTGAGGCAACTTCTAATGTTTTGTATTAGGGAATCTTTGCTCAGTGGTGTAAAAATACAGTTGTTCAAGCTGAATTCCCAAAGTTGAAAACAAAGATAAACAGGGTACTGTGAGCAACGTCACTTCTTCACACATCATTCAAGTTAGAATAACTGCTGTCATTTATATGCATTCAATTAATGTGTAGAGCTGCAGCAGTTATTACGCAGTTCATCAAGCATGTGTAATTAGCTGAGCAACTTTCACTTCCTATCACCCAGACGCTGATTCACAAAGTCATAAATAAAGATGCAGATCTCCATCATTGTTCTCAGAAGGCATCTTTTCCTCTGAGAGAATATTAAAAAAAAAAAAAGTCAGAAAAATAGCAAAAATAAAGGGAGGGAGAGCCCGGTAGATGAGAAAGTCACGTTTATTGTCCTGTGAGCCTGAAGGAGAATAAAGAGAGAGTTATTTGAAATTCAATAGGTACCTTTCCAGTCAAATTCATTGCACACGCAGCACAGTAAAAGCAGCAGAAGCCTATCTTTTCCCATTGACAAGTGCAGAGAGCTCCTGAATACCTGCAGCCTGGGCAGTTGGCATAGCTGTAGTAATCTCTGTTCTCTGAGTAACTCATGCTCTACTCACCCGTGTATAACCTAAGATGATCCTTGGCTCGGATTGCCCCCATACCTAGTAGTAAAAGAAATCATGCTGTAGAACAAAGTTGCAACAGAGTCACAGCAGCTTGGCAGCAACAGCAGCTTGGAAATAGTATTGGTTTTTTATGAGAAAGAACAAAGGCCCAATATTCACTTTTTTGCTGGATTTTTAGGTTGCAGTCATTTCATTGCCTTTAGTGATGAAAATTACTGGAAAGAGAAAATACGAAAATAAGAGGCAGACTTTTACACCATATTTTTAATTAAAAAAGGATATATAAATTCGAAGTGACCGAACCAACAACCGTATGCTATCATATATATTGTTTGATTCTTTCTTATTATATGCAATAGATTGAATTAGATAAATAAATTGGCATCTATATTTTATTGTCAGCTGAGGGACACGAGAAAATTCAAAATTTTGAAGAAGAAGGGGTAATCTGATGAAGATAGATGCAGAAATGAAAGGAATTCTATCCATGAGTCATGCTAGAGATTGTAATGAGCATCATAACCATTACCACCTCTTGGTGGGATTTGGATATGCACACTGCAGAGGCTACAAAAGGACAGGGTGGAGCTGGGTGGAAAGAAACGAGGCAATATAGCATGCTTTTTGCTAAATATTGATGCCTGTATTTCAGTATACTTAATCTTCAATTTACTGATTCAGTAGATAAAGGAAGAACATCTGGTTTTGTGTCTTGTCTTCAGGTACATGGTCAGAGGTTACTAATTCTGTTGTGGATATGCACACCAGCAGAAACCTCTGTTTGCTAGGGCTGGTTTTGGAAAATCTGTACAAAGGCATCTAATAAATGTTGTGTTGTTTTTTTAGAGGCTAGACTCCATAATTGTAAATTTTAATAGAAATTAGGTAATTTTGTAGGTACACCATTTTACTGACCGATATTAATGATATTGTTGGTTATGTGGTGCTTCCTGAATTTCCTGACAAACTTTTGCATAATTTCTAGGGAATACCGGAGTAATTTTGCACTCTGTTTGCTATTTCAGATCTCTATTTTACTTTATAGTTGAAGCACAAATGTTTTACTCATGGCTCAGAATGACAGGATAACTTACTGTCTCTTAGAAGGACTCTACATCCTGCTTTAGCTGCATGCCTGGGTTTTTTAATACTCTATACAAATTTCTTTGCATTGCAACAGTTTGCACCATGAATTTCCTGCTTCACTGACAACCAAAGAAAATTTGCAAATGATCACTAATATGACCACTAAATGAAACACCAGGTATTGTGTGTTCTTGCCTGAAGATACCCGAATGTGAAAATGTGGTGGTGTAGTTTTTATAGAGAATATGATATATTCTGATTGCCATGTACATGCAGTTTTGGATAAATTAGTATTTGTGGGAGAATTGGAAGTAGAATAAGGAAAGAAATCACTTGATCCTTACTTTTGTGTTTAGGAATTATCAGTGGCTAAGAGACCGCCCAGCATCAGTGACTTCTTCACATGTGGATTCTGTTTCTTATTCTAGCCGGTGCAGTGAATAAATTTTAAATGCAAAGAATTATGATCTGAACCACCTCATCTGAGAGTGTAGGATTAGACAGCTCTATTAATATTTATGCCTCCTAATGGGCTACTTGATTTTCAGAGCAAAACTCCCAACATTATACTTTCTGTGTGATGGCTGTGCTTACTATGGACACATAGGACCATATACACATACCTACATTCTTGGAAATGAAACACAAATCACAGTGCTCTAATCTCATCCTGCTTTGATCATCCATTGTTTCCAACAGAGAATATGTTGCATCAGTGGTGAGTCATAAATGGCACTGATAACTTTAAGGCTCTTAAGCTTAGCAATAATATTTTACAAATCTAAGCAGAAATCAAGAGACCAATTCAGCCTGTTGCCCTGTGTTTCTGTTTGGTGTTTGATCCAATACTCCATTTAACTATCCTAGAACTGTTTACTTATCATCACATTTTTGAAAAAAGGAATTAATGCAATGTGCAGTTCCTGTGGACTTCATTAAATTCACTTCTTTTTGCATACCTGCTCCAGCTCTGAAATCAATCAGAGAAGGACAAGCTGAGACCTTTTAAAATGTTTATTTCCACTGGCAAAATTTGTCAATTGACTATCAGATTCTTTTTTTCTAAATATGTGATGTAGAAAATGATATCAAAGTAATGGACTTGTAGATGGTATGTTGTCAAAAATTATTGAAATATTCTTTCTCCACGGCCATATAAATGAAAAGTGTGAAATCTAAGGTGTGAGCCTCCATCACTGTAGACTGAGCTATGTCAAAACACGTTGCCGTGCCAGCAGGCTGAGAACGTGCATTTGTAGACCGTTACCAGGGCTCATGGTGACTTGAGAGTGAGTGTGAAAGCCCACAGAGCTACCTTAGTGCATATTTTAGTGTATATTAACTGTTACAAAGGGTGTATATCTTCATTAGGCCACTTTGAAAATTCATAATGCGTTATTTGCCTGCAGTGTGTTTGTGT